GTTTTTTTCATGGGATCATTACTGTTATAAAATATGCAGATAAATATGCAGAGAAGTCTACATCAACTTTGCATGACAGCAACAGCCAAACACAAGCTTTTTCTAATTTCTGTAGGCATACGGTTTAAAAACTGTATACCTCTATTGTTAATAGTAAGTTAAAAAAGTCCAGACCAGTAAATAAGTCAATATGAAACAATGGTCGTTAAAGAATATAAAATTCATAAAATGTTTCGTCTAAACAGCCTTTGCCAGGAAGTCTAAACCAAATTCATTCTTCTGGGAGCACAATCAGTAAACTTCTGAACTAGGCTGTCCAAGTCAAGATTCTCCAGCAAATCCACTTCCACCGACATGTGAATAAGGTTTTCAAGCCTGTTTTGATTCATAGTAGATCTCAGTCGCGATTTGACTATCTTCAACTTCGAAAACACTCTTTCGGCACTACATGAAGTGATTGGAAGTGTTAAAGCAATTTTCATCAATTTGCTAACACAACCATAACACTGGGGTTCAGCCTGTAAAGCCTTGAACAAATCAAGAAAATCGGGATTCCGTTTCTCAGATACGGCCTTTTCAATGACGTCTGTTACCAATGATGATAGCTGTAACGAAAATATTTCACTCTCCAAATCAATATCATTCTGGAACCATTTTACCGCTACAGAAATGCTTTCCCATGCTTGTGAATGCGATATTCGAGCAGGATGTAGGTATCCGAGGCCTTTGAGGACAGCTGTATTTTCCATGTTAAAACGAGTTTCAATCGAGTTGCTCATCAGGTCCAGTACCTAATTAAATAAAGATTGTGAAATTTACCACCTCTAAGACATTGGTCACATTATGAATCGTTTTAAAAACTCACATTGTAGAAAAAGAAAATTTTAAACTTGTCTTTGACTGAAACCTGAGCGGCTGTATCTGGGTTCTCATCCAGTCTCCGAGGAACCTTGCGAGTAGGGGTGCACCGGATTTGGAATTTTCAAATCCGGCCGGAACCGGATTTACTGGATTTGGACAAAAATTCCGGCCGAAATTCCGGCCGGATTTGCCGGATTTGAAATAAACCGGTAATGGGGACAATTAGGGATAAATCAGTACTTTTTACTATTTTTAGTTGGTGTCAGTTTAGATTTTTGATTGTGTTTAAACCTTTTTTAAATATCTTTTTGTTAATAACTTAATATTTTATAATAATATAAGTGTTTTTTAAACGTTGAAGCTGCCAAATTGATGGTTTATCCCATTCTTGGTAAATTTTTTAAGGTGAAAACAGAAATTTAAATCCGGCCGGAATTCCGGCCGGATTTGAAATCCGGTGCACCCCTACTTGCGAGGACGCTTTTCTTTTGGCTCCTCGATTCCCAATTTTGCGCATCTCTCTAGGGTTGCAAGCCAGAAATCTTCAAACTTCACATCGCATCGAAGAGCCTTAATTGCAGTAAGAAGATCAGCTACTCTCTCACATCCTGAAACAACGTCGAGGCCTTCGGACTGAACCTTGTCTGAAACCCCTTTACGAAGATGCAGCACCTTTTTTAGCACCTGCGATAAAATAGAACAAATTAAAAAGAACAAACAGTTTTCATTATACGCATATTTTTTTTAAAAATTAACAGTTCAATTATTCAAATTACCTCTAGAGCTACAATGAATTCAAAGTCTTGAACATTTTGCAGCAGTCCCTTTGCCTCAGCTGCAATGGCCGCCTTTGTTTCATTTTCCCTAACCTCCTTCAACGTTGCAATTACAGCATCTAAAGTACGGTGTATTCCTACTATACTGTCTGCACGACAAGCCCATCTGGTATCAGATAGCTTCTTAAGGGTATACTCCATTTTTTCTCCTCCTCCGGCATGGGCATTAATTTCCCTCTGATTCTTCACATAAACACTATGTCGCTTTGGGCAAGACTGGATAAAGACATACAAGTTCTGTAACGTTCCAAAGAAATCTCGGGCAATCTTGTTTTTGCTCATAGTGTCCACAATGACAAGGTTGAGAATATGTGCATAGCAATGAGTATAGAGAGCAGAAGGTGAAACCTCGTTTGATTCGTGCTTGCAGGCCAGTGTGCACTCCTGCTACATTGTTTGCACCGTCATAACACTGTCCACGCAAGTGAGCAACATCTATTCCATGTTGCTGTAGCTTTTGGGTGACAGCCTCAAAAAGAGCTTCTGCTGTTGTTTCATTCATCGGCATCATCGCCAGCAAACGTTCCTCAACTTCGCCATTCCAAACAAATCGTACAAGCAATGACAACTGTTCAGTTTGGCTCATATCCGGTGTTTAATCGGCAATTATTGCATAAAACTTTGCCTCTTTAACTCGTCGTATAATTTCATTTAAAATGCTAGAGCCAAGAATTGCTATCATCTGATTTTGAATTTCAGGCGAGGTGTATTTTGCATTTTCTACAAATTAACCAAGCATCAAGTAATAAACTATATAAAGTATTATGTATGTATGTATGTTTATGTATCAAGTCAATAAAGTCATTAGTTATAGGAGTAGTTGGTATAAAAATGCAAAAATTATGGAATTTATTTATATTACCAGGAGAGGTAGTTAAATGATTCTGTAACACTATGTCGCTTTTAGCAATACGAGTAATAAATTCTTTAAATACACCCTTATTCATTGATTGTTCATCCTCACGACGCCCTCTGAAAGGCAAGTTCAGCTTGCCAACAGTTCGAAAGACATCAAATATTTTTTGCCAATGACACTTCTATTTGTTCTCACCTAAAACATAATTCATGTGCAACATGTCAATATCTTAATCGAGAAGGTAGTACCTCAGGCCTTTAAGTTTGAAATATCAGGTAAACATGTTTGTACAAATATTTATACATCTCTTACATGTCTAACCAATTGCTGGCGATACGATTCTTGCTTCGCCGCTTCTTCACTAATTTGGTTCATTTGGTGATCCACTGGTTTTTGATATTTCCATTGACGATATACTTGGCTGGAATGCCGATGGTAATCTGATTTTTCATGCTTCGAGAAAACTTCGCTTTTCTTCCAATTTCCAAATCCAACCTTTATGAAGGCTGGGTCACCTTTTGATGCAACCTGAACACATTATATATAGCCATGCAGCCATTTATTTATAGACAAACTGGGTAGATTACTTTTCCCCATTTGAAAAAATGAGAATGTTTGGAAACTAATGTCATGCATTGACAAATTCAGCTAAACAACTTATAATACACGATCACTAATGTACTGAACGTTTTAAAGACTTACAATTAAAGACTCTACAATAGAAACAAAATGCTTTATTCTTAGCCGCTGAATATTCCAGCCACTTAAATTTATCGTACCAAGATGCCGAAAATTTTCGTTTTCGCTCGTCTTCTGGAAAAGAAATATTCTTTGGCTGGCATGGCCCTTTGCTTATTACGTGATCTCTCGATTCTTTCCCTGTAGGCAATGGAGTGGAAGGATCATATGAATATCATTTTGATTTTCCAATTAAAACAGCATGGAACTTGATGTAAGCCTGATACCTAGTTTTTCAACAACATAAAAAATTAAGACATTTCCGATACACGTACTAAATTCACATACTTGCGTGCTAAATTTTCCCAAATTAACTCAGTAGTTTTCTCCCCATTTTTTCTGGCTTACTGGTCTTCTTTCACCATGAGATAACCCCCCCCCCAATTTTCTACCTGGATTTCAAAGTTTTAGAAAATGGTTTCTCGAACGATTGGGGGAGGGGCGACCGCCCCCTTGCCCCCCTTGGCTACGCCCCTGCTCCTCGTATACTGCGTTTTCGCCTACGGCTTATGAGATACACCAACGAGATCAAGTATATATGTCCCTGGCAAACATCAAATCACAGTCGAATAGCCGATACTCTCTCTCGTGCTCCAGCTAGCCTACCAGTGAAAGACGACGAGATTCTTGTGCAAAACGTCTAAACCATGGCAACAGAAACGGTGAAATCCCTTCCAGCTTCCATCGACCGCTTGCATGAAATACGACTAGCCCAGCAAAAGGATGATGAATGTGCGGAAGTGAGATCCTTTCGCCAGAATGGATGGCCATCATACATGAACTGTCAACCTTTTATGCGGCCATACTGAGAAAATAGAAATCATTTTAGCATTGTTAATAACCTTCTTCTATATGATGACCGTCTTGTGATTCCACGAGTGATGAGCGATACAATTCTTGGTCGAATTCACATTGGCCACCTCCACACCTCGGCATAACGAAATGTCGATCTAGAGTGCGTTCATCGGTGTGGTGGTCTGGACTATCAAAACAAATTGAAAACCTTGTCACCCAGTGTACCACTTGTGCTAAAGACCTACCAACTCCTGAGGAACCTCTCATGCCTTTGATTCGTCTTTCCCATCCAGACCTTGGCAAAAGATTGCCACTGACGATTTCCAGGGGGGAAGTACATCATCATGGTTGACTATACTACTCAAGGTGGTTTGAGATTAGAAAACGTACTGCGGGATGAAACAGATAAGGGTGCTATCGAAGCCTTCAAGAGATATTTGCAATCCACGGTATTGCCGACCAGGTATTAATGTCAGTTAATGGTCCACAGTGCGATGTTGAATGCTTTCGTGAGTTTGCTGCTACATATGGGTTTACACACCAGTAGAGCGGGCTATCAGAACAGCGAAAGCACTTCTATGAAAAAATGAAGATTTTCATAATGCTCTTTTGATATACCGATTAACTCCAGTGGAGTTGATCGGTATATCAAAAGAGCATTATGAAAATACTCCACTTCAAAATGGCTTGTCCCCAAGTGAACGTCTGATGCATGAGACGCCGTTTGCGACCACAGCTGCCAGTCCATCCAATGAACCTTCAGCCCAATGTAACAATGAGGACCATGAGCAGGTGGAGAGAAAAGAGGCCTCTAGTCGTCTGAAGCAACAAAAGAAAACAAACGACACAGAGCAAAAGATCTTGCACAACTAAAACCAGGTGGTGCAGTTTGAGCGGTAAGAGACCAAGCATGTGATGGACAAGTCGTCCGACAGATACAGTACCCAAGATAGCGAGACCACACATCATTCAGTAGTAGAAGATGAGGAAACTCCGCCGACTTCAAATACAGAAAATCCTCCTCCCTCGCCAACAACAACTGCCAGCTCAGAAGGTTCGCTCGTCCCACCACAACTAGTTACACGTTCGGTCAAAAACGTAAAACTTCCAAACCGTTTGGACTTATGAGAACGCTAACAACGATATTGACCTTTTGACATTTTCAGTTAGTTTAAGAAAAATGAACGGTGTTACATTGCCTTATTTTCAAATAGGATAATTGTTGTTATTGTTTCGAAAGTGGAAATATAGGATAGTCGTGTATAGCTATAGGCAGCAATGCATGCTGGGAACGCGGATAAAGGGGAGTCGGCCATACTTGAAAAAGAAACGTTTTGACTTTTGGTTGTTGATATTAAATCTAGACTTTACTACAAATACTACAAACCACGACAGTTTATTGCAGAATATTACCTACAGTTGACCCACGTTTGATATATCTTTTTCAGGTAGTATAGATACTAACCACGACAGGTTATTGTAGAATACTACCAACACTGGACTACCACGTTCGAAATATCTTTTTCACCTAGTTCACACACAAACTACGGCAGCTTATCGTAGAATAATACTAACTACACTGGACCAGCATGTAACATTTAAGAACACCGCCGTTATGGACAACCCCCATGCCTAGTTACACTCTTTTAATTTTGATAGTGTAAGCATGGAAAAAAAATGAAATGAAAAGAAGGTATTGTAAGTAACCGGGCATTTGAATTATATATGTGTCGAGTAAATTGAGTGGCAACAGGTTTCACTAAGCAACTATTGTGCAGCAGAATAGCAGATGGTGGTCTTCCTGCAGTGAGAAATATAATGTTAGTTCTTTTCATTATATGTATAAATCTTGTTTTTAGTCTCGCAGCCGGTCTTTGCGGAGACGAATAAATAAAATTGAAAGATGTAGTTTAATTTTCCTGCTTCTACGAGAGTCAACATCTGCTGTACTGTGACGCTTACTGAAACTAACTAATATGAAACTAACTAACATAAAATAATACCTAAATATTTACTTGATTATTTTTTCAGATCTCATTCAATGTCCACGCCTGACACCTCCACTTAATGGTCACGTGATCAGCTTGAACGAAGGTAGCGACAACGTCATGATTTTCTCATGTGACCTAAGGACGCAGATGAGTGGCTCAGAGATTCGAGTGTGCCAGCGCAATGGAACCTGGACAGGAAGAACAACGCACTGTGAGTAAGAGAGTAAGATGTTGGTCTGTGACTTACGTTTGATTCTTTCTATCCAGTATAAATAAAGTTAGTTTAGTTTAAGTTTCCTCCTGTAGTAACACTGCGTCAATAAGAGATAACTCTTACTGGACCTGGAAAAGTTTAGAACTGAAAGAGCTATCCAACATAAATAAAGTTAGTTTGGTATCAGTGCAATCGTGTAAAAATAAACTATTCTTTGATGGTTGTGTTTTAGGTATAGGAGATATTTTACACAGAGAAGGCTCTATGATTCTTAAAGGTCACAACGAGTATAGAAAAAGTTTGTTAAATTTTCTTAAACCAGTTCAAACTAGAGTTTATTCTAAGTGGAAGCTCTGTTACCGAGCCAGTAAGGATGGATGGTCAGCGTTCAACTTCCACGGCGCATGCGGAAACAGGGTGTCGACAGTCACCATTATTAAAGTGGGACAGTATATATTTGGCGGTTATTCAGACAAGTCATTTGGAGGTGGGTATTAACTAATTTAAGCCGTGGACCATTTTAGAGGTGTCTGTACTAGAGAAGTGTTCCTAAAGAAAATGCATAAAGACAACACTGGGATTTTCCAAGCAATGAAAAAAGTTCAAAAGACAATGGAACATTCATATCACGGGATTTTCAAAACAATGAAAAGAAAATGGAACATAAGTACATTCCAAACGCTGGATTATAACTGGATGGCAAGCGTCAAGCAAAGCGCTCATACTATAGATGAATAAACTTATATAATAAAGAAACACAATTTAAACCAAAACTAATAAAAACCCTTCCCTTTTTAGTACCAGTACACGAGTATCACAACCGTTTCAACTACAGAACGAACAGTCGTAACTGTTACCGAAGCTCAAAAGCATTTATATTCTCCCTGAAGAACAAAGACAACCTCCCCCCATTTCAAAGCCATCCATTCCAAAACTATGCTAATGCAATTTGTGCCGATGCAAGTAAAGGAGCTGAGTTCAGCTATGGTATAAAGATAAGTGATTTTGCTGGCAGCAACACAGGGTCGAGTAGCTCGCTTGGTTACACATACAGACCACCGTCTGGTTATAGTTATGGTCAGTCACAGACGAATGCATTGCTTGCTGGAAGTGCTAGTTTTACCCCTGATGAGATTGAAGTCTTTTTTGAAGAATAAAGGAAAACTGTTTGGCTTTTAATTCTTATGTAATGATTATAAGTACCATTATTCA